GAAAACTCTGTTTGAAAATAACGTTTGTATTGTTATTCTAAACATTACAACGTGTGTGGGTGTTGAAAAAATAACACCCACATTGTTAATTTAAACATTAGACACTGTTAGTGTGTGCGTTGAAAAAATAACGTCCAAATTATTATTCTAATCACCTGCTCGTTAAAAATATCGACGGCATATCGCGATTCGCGACACTCTGAAATCAATCCATTCTTTGTGCACGGGCGCATGAAAAATCGCAGGGAATTTTTGTATCGATCTTAGATTTTCAGCTCCTGGTCGATACCAATGACAAACGAATACATTTTTCAAAGAACGTCAAGTGAAAATAGAATACGATTACAGACCTTGGTGACGATACGAACATGGTTCATCAAGCAGACAGGGAAATGTTATGGCACATATAAAACAACAGCGTGTATTGTGAAACCTCAATGCTACGTCTGCTATTTTTTTTACTTCAACGCTGACTTGAGTATTTTTATTAATTTATTTTATTTTAGTGCCTTTATTATAGTTATTATCATATTAGCTTTATTATCTTCATTGCAATAAATATTTTATTATTCTTATAGTTATTCTTATTAATTAAACAATTGTTGTTATTATTATTTCCCAAGTTGTTTTTGTTGCTGTAAAAGCTAACCTTATCTATGTTTTATATATTTAACAGAAAGTAAATATTATATCACTGTTACACCAAATAAAACGAAATGGCCAGCCAAATTAACAAATGTCAATATCGACATTTCTGTCAATAGTTCTTTGCCGCTGATGGTCGACTAAAATAATTAATCTGTAAATAAATACAAGTAGGGAGACCCCCTTTTAAGGGTGTCTATTAAATACATTTTATGGGAAATTTGTTTTTGATGAAAGGCAACATATTCCATATTAATTGATTCGGCTAGTTCTGTGAATGCAGGCTACTAGATGCCCTCCCCTTATTAAGAAATCTAGTAAAACGAGTTAACTCCCTTGGGATTGTAAAGTATGTAGTGATTACTTTTTAAAGTGTACTTTATTTTTTTTCTCTAATATCTTTATAGTGAAGATCTACTACCAGATGAACTTATAATTTCAGTGAAGTATGATTTAGACTGGTACGCTAAGGCCTGAGTGTTTGAAAAAATGCAGAAAATTTTAGCTTGTTTCTATTAAGATTCAAAAGTTAGTTTAGGTGTTGAATAAAAATTATTTATAGATTTAATCTTCCCCAGCGGAGGTAATAGTTTTTTTTTTACACACAGATGTCTGTGCAGTACTACAATATTTGGTGGACGGCGTGTTCTAATTGTAGAGCGGTCATCTGCTAACCCTAAAGTCTCGAGTTCGGATCCCTGGCTATAGTCATAGCACGTCCCCAAGTCTATCCAACCTTGAGGGTAGAGCGGTCGTCTGCTAATCCTAAAGTCTCGAGTTCGGGTCCGTGTCTAGAGTCATAGCACGTCCCCAAGTCTATCCAACCTTGGCGATACCTGACCAACGCCAGGGAAAGTAAAGCCAGCTTGGCATTGTGCCGATTACACTATCCCCTTACACGCTGAGGTAAAAAAAAAAAACAGGTGAACTCTATCTCACCTGCCCTGTGAACCGCCATGTCCGAAAGGAATCTTTACTTTTAATACAATATTGAATATATTATTATTAATTATAAAAGTTATGAATACATATATATATATATATATATATATATATACATATATATATATATATATATATATATATATATATATATATATATAGAATAGAATATATCAATAAAACTAAGATTAACCCCCTGATAAAACTTAGACATTAAACCACTCCCTTCTTTAACAAAGCGACGCATTATAAAATCTTTCAGGAACGTGATTTACACCTTATCAATAGTCAGTCGAAATAATAAATATGGATTTTTGCTGGCACACATCAGTCATAGCGGGTTGTTTGTTGATTATTTTGTGGGGGTTTTTTTTAATATAAATCGTTCATTGCGGAGGTTTTTTCTTTACTTGCATCAGCCATAATTTCATCTACACGAACCAATCATATTTGGATCTAAATGTCATGTCATATATTTATCACATGAAATCAGTCAAACTTTCATCGTCATCAAATCCGTCATTGAAAGATTCAACCAAAGCAAAGTTCTACTGAAGTTGTGAAAAACTGCTTTTTCAGTTCATTTACGCAGAGTTTCTTCCAGGCATCTCTTCGGCGGGTGGGGCGGGGGGGGGGGGGGTTAATCCCCCCCCCCCCCCCCCGAAAAAATTCTACCGCCCCCCCACCCCCGAACGAAATGAAATTTATATAAAAAAATATATACTTTTAACAGTGTCCGCCCCCCCCCCCCCCCCCGGAGAAAAAAGTCTGGAAGAAACATTGCATTTACGTGAACACAATCTTACTATCTAGAAACATGAGGCCATACTATTAAAACAGAAGTCTTTGATTAGAAAAGATATGTGAGTACGGACCTTAGCATTATATTTAGAGGTGACTAGTTATAGATCTTTGTGTACGGGCCATTGTTTTATAATTAGATGTCACTAATTAGAGAAAAGATCTTTGGGTACGGGCCATTGTTTTATAATTAGATGTGACTAATTAGAGAAAATATCTTTGTGTACGGACCATTGTTTTATAATTAGATGTGACTAATTAGAGAAAAGATCTTTGTGTACAGACCATTGTTTTATAATTAGATGTGACTAATTAGAGAAAAGATCTTTGTGTACAGACCATTGTTTTATAATTAGATGTGACTAATTAGAGAAAAGATCTTTGTGTACAGACCACTGACATCTGAATGCCAATCACCGTGAGTACTTCTGTTCAAGCTCTCCATACCGCGCTACTTTCGATCGCCCGCCCTGAAGCTCGCCCCACCCCCCGGGGACTACTTGAGCCGATAGATCGAATACCGCCAGCCCCTCCACGGGCTCGCCTCTATGAAAGAAATCCCAATCAAAAACCAATTAACGGTGAATCAATGGGGCATTGCAGTTCATGTAGGCTGTTGGGCATCTATCGGTGGTCGTGGCGCTCTCTGCAATGGTGTATTGCATTCAACGGATATTCCAGTTCGATTGGGGTGGGGGGTGGGGCGAAGGGCAAACGCTACAAGGTAATCATGCCTTATATAGTTGCGTCACGCACATGGAACTGGACAATCAAAACGATTGAACTTTCGATACGTGGGTTAGGCTGCAAGTGTAATATATGGTGTGGGGATTGGTTTCGATAATTAACACCTAATTAAGTAGTTATTTGATGATTGTGGGGGTTTGTGTTGGAAATGAAACGTAATGAAATGTAATGTGTGAGAGTGTGTTTGATTTCAATTTTGATTCATTCCAGTTGTTTAATTCTAATTATTTGATTGCATCCTCGACTGCGTTACGTTCAAGATATTTAAGTCAAACTGTGGGCAAGTTCGTTTCTAGCGTTGGTCAAAGTTATGTTTTACGTAGAGGTATGGTAGACTAGATTTGATTCTACATTACACATCACAACCAACAAGCTGTAATTTTACAAGCCTACTCTTAGATCTCAATGGGACGGAGTGGTCTAGCGGTAGAGAGCTGGATTGCTAACCCGTAAGTCTCGAGATCGAATCCGGGTTCAAGTCAGTAGAGCGTCTCTGAGTCCACCCAACTCCGATGGGTACCTAACTCACGTTAGGGAAAGTAAAGGCGGCTGGGCATAGTGCTGACTACTCTATCTCTTCATATGACGAGGTCACAGAAACAAGGGAACTCTACTTCGCTTGTCCCATAGACCGTCAGGTTTGAAAGGGAAACTTTTTCCCACGTTTTCTTTAACTTGCTTTCTCTGTCTGTTTTTCCAATCTAATCTTGCGATCGAAATTTCTGGCACTTCCCAGTTAGCTAGCGCGCTGAAATTTTCAGGGAAGCTTTCTTTTGGATGACCATAGAATATTCAATTGTTATTATTACTAAATTGATCAATGGAAACATTTTATTGAGCATTTTAGACCGCTATATAATCTATATATATAATTCTCCTCTGCGAGCCATTAGAAAAAAAACCAGCGACGCGTAGCTAGCCTCTCTCTTGCCGCGCGCAGTGAAGCGAACGATCCCAAGTCGCGACAGGCTTAGGGGCAGATAATTTAGTTTTAACCGACTTTAAACTTACAGGAGGTAAGTATTACCACTGGTGGCCAGTTTGGGGGAGACGATATGGTCGAGTGGTTGGGCACACGATTGCTATGGGGCTATCCCACTCGGCGCGGGTTCAAATCTATGTGTTCTAGTCAGTAACGTATTCACACAACGTGTTTTTTACGAGTTGTCTTTTTACGAGACTTGAATGCTATACAACTTTTACGAGATTTTAATGCAAACAAACAGACAAAGAGTAAAAAGTAGAAAATAATAATCATTAAAAAAGTTTTTAAAAACCCACGTTTTCTGATTGAACTAAAAAGTAGAAAATAAATGCTATACATCACAATAATGCAAGCGATCACGTTTTTCATCGCTTATAGTAGAGTGATCGCTTGCATTATTGTGATTTATAGCATTTATTTTCTACTTTTTAGTTCAATCAGAAAACGTGGGTTTTTTTAAACTTTTTTAATGATTATTATTTTACTCTTAGATCACAATGTTTATGGCTTGATTGAAGTCTAACCTTTGAACTCAATTTTAAACCACTTTTAATTAAACGATTTCTTTCAGATGATGCACATAGATTCTAAGTGCAACTTGGATGATGAAAAAAAAATATCAAAGTTCTATTTAAATTAGTCATCTAAAGGTATAGTTAAAGCGTTGGTTACTCAAAGTTATGTTAATTTTCTTACTTTTACTTCATTTTAAACTGTGTTGTTATAAAAAATATTTTTTTTTAACTCACAACATGAAAATTGAAATACGGTCAGCTAAATGGGGACGAACATAATATGAGATAACTAGTGAGTCAATCACTTCTGGCTATGTGAGACTAATACAGGCTAAGCTGGAAGAGAATTTAAGGCTAACACCAGCTTAGTTTGAAAATTTTATTTTAGTTTAAAAAAATAATGGTGTATCTATATCATTCATTGCTTCTCTCATTTTCTCAATACATTCCACATTTTTACAAATTGGCACACACAGACAAACACACTCACACAACCACACACACACAGGGTGAGATCTCTACCAGTATACCCCGAACACACGAGTCACGTGATTAAACCCGACACAGCTGATTGGCCACAGTGGCTGACTCGATAGCCGAGATGACACGACCTTGACCGTTGTTGTTGCACAGGTTGACCAGGGCGTAGAACTTCCTGAGGGCGAAGTCGTTGGAGCTGATGTCCAGCCCGGGACAGAAGGCCAGGAGCGTGTCCACGGCCATCTCGTAACAGTCCCAGTCCCTGATCTCCTCGTGGGTCTTCATCACGGTGCCGTACACGACGTTTTCTGGGAGCTCACTGGTGGGGGGGGGGGGGGGAGAAAATATTAGTTCATGTAAGACAATCTTATGGAGGGTAGTTTAAGTAAGATGGGGGGGGAGGGAAATATGTCAGTTCGTGTTGACTGAATACGTATGGTTTAGGCTAACGGTGGGCAGAGGCGTAGCTAGGGGGGGCGGGGGGGCGGCCGCCCCGGGCGCCGACCCTATGGGGGCGCCAAAAGGGGTGGGAAAATTTTTTTAAAGCTGATTTTATGCTGCAGTTTTGAATTATAAACTGTCTAAGTTAAGAAATGTAATGGCTACACGCATTTACATACTGATTTAACTGTTTTCTATCTTGATTTCTTAATGTAAAACATATACTCTTAAGAAACAGTGACCGGCAAAACCGCTTTGAAGCTTATCCTTGATGGGGGGGGGGGGCGCTTTTTCGAGACTTAAAACGGAAGAATTTACACTAGATTGTTGAGTCGATAAACGTTACCACTATTAAAAGAAACCAATTGTATTAAAACGTATTGTACGATTGTTGAACTGTAAAATACGTTAGTGACTTTTATCAAGATGGTGCAGGGGGGCGCTTTTAGGCTAAATAAAATAGCAAAATTACACAGGATTCTGAGTAAACAACCTTTAGCTCTCAGAAAGAAACGAATTGTACTGTGCATTGTATAATTGTGTAACATTTTTTTTTTAAAGTTAGTTACGTTAAAAACCGCTCTACAAACTTTGTCCAAGATGGTTGTGATGAGTGTGTGTGGGGGTGGGGGGGGGGCGCTTTTTTCGCTAACAAAAATCGCAAGTATTTGTACTGGATTGGTGAGTAGATAACTCTCTTAACACTTAGTAAAGAAACCAAGTGTATTAACGCGTAATGTACAATTTCAATAGCCAGTTTTGTTAAAAAAAAGACGCGACTAGTTCTTTGTAAGATTCTTACGATTCTCTCAACTTCAACGTGAGAGATCAGATACTTTTGATCAGTGTTTCTTCCAGACTTTTTTCTCCGGGGGGGGGGGGCACTTGAAATCTTCGGGGGGAGGGGGGAGGCGGTAAACTTTCTTCGGGGGGGGGGGCGGACACTGTTAAAAGTATATATTTTCTATATATAAATTATATAAATTTCATTTCGTTCGGGGGGGGCGTAAAAATTTTTCCGGGGGCCCCCCGAAAAGATGCCTGGAAGAAACTGTGTGCGAGAAGGCAGGGCAAATCTGCGAAATCCAAGACTACGAGCTGTTAACATCCGTTGGATTCCAGTTTGTTTTCTCTAGCTTGTTTTGTCATACCATCAACCAATCAACGAAATACCCATGTCGTATTCCAATGTGAACAATAAATATTTCTGATAACTTCTTCTTGTATGTCACTTGTGTGTCCTTACTCTAACAAACTTCGAATCCAACTATGTACCATATCACAACAGAGATCGTTCAAAACTAGAACATAAAAGGTTGGTCTAAACATATTAGCGTTAGCTACAAACTACCCTCTAACACAGATCAGGCTTATTTTTTTTAACTGACATTACTAATCTTTCGCAAAAAAAGTTAAACGCATCTTAATGGGAATTAGATTGTCGTAAAGTTTTAAGGAATGAAAATCATACAATGTAATTATTAAACCTTGTCCGGACTGTAGCATACACGCTTACACACATGCTTACACACACAAATACACTCTTACCCACACACAAGCTTATATATAAACACACTATCACACACACATAATTATACACACACACACACACACACACACACATATATATATATATATATATATATATATATATATATATATATATATATATATATATATATATATATATGTATATATATATATATATATATATATATATATATATATATATATATATATATATATATATATATATATATATATATATATATGTATATATATATATAAATAAGCGGGGGGGGGGCGCCAAATTGAAAGTTCGCCCCGGGCGCCGGGAAGGGTCGCTACGCCTCTGACGGTGGGGGGGGGTGGAAGGAAAGGGTTGTGGATATATTAGTCCAAGTAAGACATAGGGACATCATGACGGAAGGGGGGGGGGATTTGTTATTTCGTGTTAAACAAGTATAGTTTAGTTTTTTAGGCTAAGGGCGGGGTGTATATTATTGCATGTAAGACATTGTCGTGGGGTGGGGGAGTGAGTGTACTATTTTAAGAAAAAGGGGGTGTCATGGGGCGATATTTCAGTTTGTTCAAACAAGTATGGTTAAGGTTAATGAGGCGGACAGGTAAGTTAACTAATATGTATTGTCTTGTAAGTTTCCTCTCATTGTATTTCAAACCGACGGTCTATGTGACAGATAGAGTTCACCTATGCTAGGAATTGTGCGATCAGTTCAATGCTTAGCCACCTACTCACGTCAAATACTGATATCTTAAATTACTAGTCTTTGTTTCAAAACACTTTTTAACAAATAGAAATGTGTGATCTGGTTGTTGATTTAACTAAAATATAAGAGAAAGATGTAGGCAAGGTACCTGTAAACGGTCCTGACAATGTCCCAGATCAGCTGGTGGGTCAAGGACATGGTCCGCTTCAACTCGGCCAGTTGTACCTCAACACGTGACCTCTCCAGGGAGTTGGCTGGGGCCTTGGCCAGACGGTTCTCCAGGGTTCTAATGGCAACCATTTCACTGGGAACCTGGTCTCTCATCTCGGGGACCTGGTCTCTCATCTCGGGGACCTGGTCTCTCATCTCGGGAACCTCTGTGTTGGTATTCAGCTTCACGTACTGGGGGTGGGGCGAGAAGGGGGTAGAAAATAGTCACGTGTCCAGGTTTTTCAAACTAATACACACCCCACCACTTCCCTCCGTGTACCCGCACACCCCACCACTTCCCTTCCCTCCAGTTCCTCTCTCACCCACCACTTCTACCCTCTATAACTTCCCAATTCGCTTCACACTCCTCGCTTCTCATCCCTCCCCCCATACTCGTTTACTCCACAATTTTATTGACACTCCCCACTTCCATCCTCTTCTACTCCCATATTTTCTTCACCCTCCCTATCCACTTCCGAGCTCCCTTCAGTACCGTCTCCCCTCACCCCCCACCCACCCCCACCATACACACATTCCCAACCCCCACCACCTCACCCCCTCACCAACTGATGTACACACCTGTTTGTCGTTGCCAAAGAAAGCGTTGAGTGTCAGCTTGTCAATGGACAGGTCACCGTACTGCTGCACGTGACTCTGGTTGGTCTCGACCTTGACCTTCTCATACTGCTGTTCGAATGTTTCCTTGGACAGGTCAGCCTTGTCGGTATCTTCCATCCAGTTGACACTAAAAATTATTTGAAAAACATTTCTCGTTTGTCTTTATCATTTGGTACAGTACACATTCAACTCTAGAGTATTAAATCGGTATGAAAAATGTTTTGTGTAAGGTGAAGCTACCGGGTGAGAATCTTAATCGGTACACCGTACAACGGGGAAGCGTAGGATATGTGTAGGATATTTTTCCATCATGTCCGTTTAATACACGTCAACTTGGGTTCAAGAAAGGGATGTCACCCAATGTTTGCCTTAGTAAAACGGCGAGTTAAGGCACTTGTCTCAAAAACCTCCAATTGTATTGTATTTTTACATGTTTCTCTCTCTCTCTTTCTCTCTGTCTCTCCATCTCTATCTTATTAGAATCAATGCTTTTAGTTCTAACCAAGACGGACGACACCAAGAGTGAAGACTCGAGTATTCCTCTCAACAACGTCGCAGGTCGCTTTGTCTTCTGCTAGGTTTTTACTCCCCCCCCCCCCCCAACCCCAGTACATCGCATCACATGGACTAGATTGCAGTTAGGAGAAGAAGATTCCCCTAGAGTCTCGAGCATGGGTTCCAAACTCGTGACTTTCGGAGTTTACAAGTAGGCGGTCTAATTCTAGACCACTAATCCAATCAAGAATATAAAAATAAAACTAAAGCTCCATCGGCTGATGCAAATCTTACCTGTACGTGTCGCCCAGGTAAGCGTTCCTGGAATCGTCCCAGTAACATCCCCAGCTGGACTCGGTGGTGTTGGCGGCTGTGGTGGCGTACACGTTGATGTTAGCGGGCAGCAGCTTGTCAAACACAGATCCAGACTCGCAAGCCTCCACGTAAAAGTTGAGCTTGGCGAACTTCTTCTCGGCGGCCATCTTCTTCAGGACGGTGTTCAGCTCTCGCGCCTTGAGGTAGGGGGTCTGGGGCATGCCCAGGATGCCTGGGGCGCCGTGGTCAGCGAAGTTGACGAAGATGTAATCTTCCGGTCCGGAGTTGATGACCTTGCCGTCTTTGCCGGTCAGCTGGCGAATGGCCTCCTGTAGCAGAGGAAAGGTCAAGGTTAATTAAAGGTCAAAGGTTGACTGACACTATTCAAGCTATTTACATTCCATTTCTGACTATACCGTAGCCAATAAACTTTTGTTTAAGGTTTTCGTGAAAAGCAAAATGTGTTGATTTTTTTTTAAATTTAACATGTGTTTTTTCTAAATAATTAAATTTAATCGAATAATTTTTATTTGTTTTGTATTATATTTGTCGTGTTTGAAATAAATTCCACAGTTAATAAGCCTCTAATTTAAATAAATAATATAGTATCTCGTACAAGAAATGAATCTCCAAATACATGTGACTTGTTTTGGGTTGTAGAAAGATATCTAAGAAAAGTGTAGAGTTAATTTAGGCCACTAGATCATGCATCATTGGAGTCGGCGGGCAAGTAAAGACAGCGTTAGATGGATGCTGGCTTGCTTATAAAGCTGCTGTTGAGAGATCGCTGTGTATTTCTTTGATAGACGACAGGCATTGATAGAAGAGATTTATTTTATCTGTGAGCAGTTCGTAAAGTGAACACGATTTCTGGGGAGTAGAGGAGTAGACGCGATTCCCCAGGGGGGGGGGGGTTTGAGATACGTACCTTGTCTCCTTGAAGAACTGCTAGAAAGGTCTTAGCGTTGACGTCCCTTCCTGTGTAGTCTTTGAGAACCCCTGGGTAAACGTTGGGGCCTTTAGGTTTGTTGATGATGTTCCCCTTGACGGGGTTCTCCTTGTTGTGAGCGATGTCGTCGTACATCATCACCACAATCTGCTCATCAGGTATCCCGGCCTTGTGCATGATCTGGTAGGCATGGCAGATATCGGCCTGATGCCGGTAGTTGATGTAGCCGGAAGAGCCGGCAATGAGCAGGGCCCAGTTTTTCCTCACGCCCTCAGTGCCGGCTAGCAGGGCTGCTAGAGATAGGAGCAACAGTAGCTTCATGATAGTCTTCGGGTGTTGACGATTTACTCAAGGTACCCGGGGTTTTTATACTCGGCGATGGGGTTTTCCCAGACCACGTGACGTTACCAAATCACGTGATAACTACAAACTCTGTATCTACACTTTGTGACTAAAACTTGTGACTAGATAATCGAATGACTAAGGCTATTTCATTTAAACAATCACCCAGATAATAACCTTTTGAAATGATAACGGGAAAAAGCGAAAAAACTCATATATTGTTTTAGTGCGATACTAAAAGTGGGTCTAGACTAGATTATCCAGGTCAAAGTATCATGATAAGTTGGATAAGTCCTCACATGCTGGCGTGCTTATTTTACCGTGTAAAAAGGTTACAAACTGTAGCGAGTAACATTTCTAAAAGTACACAAAAACATACTCTCGTGATGTAGCATTAAAAGTGTGTGTCTATTTATAGCGAAGTCAAACGATGTGTTAATTAGTGTTTTTGTTTATTTTTCTTCTAGAACTAATTAAATGTACGTGATTGGTGTATTTCTCATTTGTCTAATTAGAAATAATTGATTAATATCTTTCGTATAGGGCTAATTAACTAAACTTGATTAGTTTCTTATAAATTCTGTTTGAAAATACGTTCGTTTGTATCTACTAGATACATGGATCTATAATATAAGCGGGCTGTGTCTGTCCTTCCTTCCGTCCGTCATCGCTATAGATTTTGGGACTATAAAAGTAAACTACGCACCATGCTGTGCTTTTCAGTGCACCGCATAGTCTTATTATAAGTGATAGAATAGGGTTTGTTTATATAACGACATAGAGCTATTTTATAATTGCCACTGTTTTTACTTTTTTGCATAACGTAAAGAGAATATTAAATACACGCACACTGCTAAAACATATTAAAAGTATTAATGTCAAATATCATTTTCGTTTATATTCCCAGAAAAAGTGGATACATTTCAATAACATAATAACAGTACGGTAGAAAAATCAAATTAATTTAACTCTTTTTTCTAATTTTGACAAAGGAGGTAATTTAAAAATACATTAAACTCACGCTAATAAAAAATGTGAATGCAAATATAAGTTCGTCATAGAAGGAATTAGTGTTGCAATAATATAATTAGCAAAATGTGGATGCAAATTATTCGGATGTGTAAGAGGAAATTATTGTTAGAAAATTATAATTAGCATGGATTGATAAAAGGCAATCTTTTATTTATTTTATTCACTAAATGTAGGCTCTACTGTTTCTTACTTATAATTTTTAATCAACTATTCAGCACTATTATAGACGCGTCATCGCGTTCATTAGGTGCGCAATGGTTTTAGTTATGAAACTCTATTGTAAATTTTTAAAATTTAAAGTACTGGGAAAAAATGCGTGAATGGATAAAGTGAAATATTGTAGGTAAAACACAGATATTTTAAATACTGCCTATTATTTATACTGTTTACTAATTATTATTCTATCTTTCGGTTTGCGGACAAGCTAGGGTTTTATAGGAGAGGCGTAGCGAGGGGGGGGGGGGCATATGTCCCCGGGTGCCAACCTTAGGGGGCGCCAAAGTGGGTTGGAAAAAAATTGCGAGGGGGGTGGTGGAAATCGAAAGTTTTAGGGCGGGGGGGGGGGACGACAGGGGTGCAAATCGAAAGTTTGAGGGGGGTGCAAATCACCGGAAAGGGCGCGATTTGGCGCTACGGGCTAGACTGTGAGCAATATGCCTTTATGATTGCATTTAAATTGTGTTTATGTTATGAGTGTTGTGTTTGTTTTTTCGTTTGTGTTTTTTTTTGCGTTCGTTTGTGTTGTGTTTAGTTTTGTCCTGTTCCCAAGTTGGTACATTTAAAAAAGATTTACCGTGGCGGAGCACGGGATGCAGCTAGTATTATTATAGCGTTGAGGGTTGTGTTGGTCAGTTTGATGGGTTGTGGGTTGGTCAGTAGGCTGTGCTGGTCAAGGCCTATGGCTGGTAAGTTAGCAGGTCCAGTAGGCTAATAGATTGGGTTATCGCTAGCTGTAATTGCTCAATGGTATGAGTTAATCAGCATGCACGCGATTGATTAGATTTGGTGCCTATGATGACGAAGGACCCATACACTTATAATCAAACTGTTGTCATGTTAATTATAAACATACTTTCTAGCGGTTAAATGTGCAAGAGTTGAAATTGTCTACTTAATTATAATGTTGGTAGGGATTCCCTCCAACAAAATTAAGTATTTTTATGCGCCTTAAAAGCCGTTGACTCCGATTTCAACTTGCTTTTTATTTTTGGATTTGCTTCCATGGCTTTTTTCCAACCAAGAACAAACTATAAGATAGCAGTTGTTTGATTTTGGAGTTGTCTCTCCTAGATAAGTTGCTGTCCCCAGATATCGAGCGACATCTGCCCGGGGTCCGAACTCGGGACTTTTCGGTTCACCAACCATGAGCTTAACCTACCCGACCACGTTAACCTCCAGATGATCTTTATTTTCAGGTTTTTCTCCGTCTGTGTTTGTTTCTTCAGGTAACACATAGTGCCAGTTTGTCGTTTTACTGAGAGTTTTATAAACCTTCTATTTACAATACCAAATCCCAGATTTTAGTACAACCTGATGCCAAAGTACCAGCTTCATGGCTCAATCCCCAAATATGTCTTTTTCTTTTTCTTTCTACAGACTTGTTAAAATGTCCAAGGAAAAATAAATAGGTTAGTATGTTCACAATCATGCAGATATGTGCCGCTGATAAAGGTTATTTTAATCTAACTTCAGTTTTTTCAAACACTCGATCATCATGGGAGACAACCTAACAATAGTCAAGAGAGTTCACTTTTTTTTTTCAACTACTCCATTATCATGGGAGACAACCTAACAATAGTCAGGAGACTTGAAATCTCGCAACGTGAAACAACAGGACTGTTTGGGGATCAAAGGTCAAGTTGATTCAAGTATGGGCCAAGGCATTTTGGCTAACTCAAGTGCAAGTCAAGACATTAAGATACGGACAAATACAATTTATATTGTTTAAGCTAGTATGATAGTTGTTTTTTTTAAACAGATTCCTGAACCACTACTTAATTTTGACAAGATTGATCAAATAAACGTGTGAAGTAGCATGACAGGCTGAAGTAAAAAGACTGGTCAAATTGGACTATTGTAAGTAGACTCCCGCAGATAGACTATTGTAAATAGATTGCTACAGATAGACTATGGTAAATAAACAACTGTAGATAGACTAAATAGACTGGTCTAGATAGAATATTATAAATAGACTGACCGAGTTAGAATTTCGTAAATAGACTGCTGTAGATAGACTATTGTAAATAGACTGGCCTAGATAGACTATTGTAAATAGACTGGCCTAGATAGACTATTGTAAATAGACTGCTGTAGATAGACTATTGTAAATAGACTGGTCTAGATAGACCCTGACATACTATTGTAAACAAGCTTGCATGACTAAATCAGACACCTCTAAACCTCAAATAACAAACACGTTAATTAATTAACACATGTATAGACGACCTAATGAAGATCTGTATAATGTATGCGTGTGAAATAATTGTTTTTCTAAATTTTTGTATGTACTATTCTTTTTCTCGGCAAGTAGCGTACATCGGGGGGGGGGGGGGGGCGAGACGGTGAGGGAGGGTGACCAAGAGGTTTGCGAAATACGAAGGTTCGTATTACAGGTTTATTACAAGTAACTTTATATCAATATGGAACTTAGTGTTACAGATGAGTTATAAGTAACTTTATATCAATGATATGGAGCGTAGTATTACAGATTTATTACAAGCGACCATCTATCAATGATCTGCACACTTTTTGTCGTGATAAATCATTAAAACAAGTCCATAACAAACCCAACAAAAACAATCGCGCCAACAGGCAACATGGCGTGATGACTAGCAATAGCCATACACAAGTGGTTGTGCGCAGTCAGAAAATATTCGTGATTATCACCTCATAATAAACACCTCACGGGGAACAACTCGATATTGTTGTACTTTACCGAGAGTCGTGTCCCCTGGTCGCAGGGTCAAATGATAAAGAGTAATGTGATGTCATGCTCCATAGCGACACCACTGCAGACAATCGATAAACTAGTTTTAGTTTCAGTCTTGTGTTTGTGCGACTGTCCACGCAAACACCTGCTACTCTGGAAGTGTTGAACTTTTGTTTTTACGTGTTCTGATAAATGATGAATTATCATTGAATGATTGGTCAATTAGATGGTGGTTAGATTTACGTCAGTACGATGTATTTTATAAAGACCTTAACCTCTACTCTAAAGAGGACAAAGTTATGAGATTATCTGTACATTGGTAGCGTGGTAGAGCTGTAAAGCGCATGACTACAAAATAGTTCGGATAACAGGTTGGAAGCCCAAATAACAACATTGTATTTTCTACACCTGTAAATGGCAAATAAACAACATGACATTCTCCACACCTGTAAATGACCAATTAACACGATATTCACCACACATGTAAATGACCAATTAACTACATGAAATTCCCCACAACTGTAAATGACCAATTAACACGACATTCTCGACACATTTAAATGACCAATTAACACGACATTCCCCACACCTGTAAATGACCAATTAACAACATGAAATTCCCCACAACTGTAAATGACCAATTAACACGACATTCTCGACACATTTAAATGACCAATTAACACGACATTCCCCACACCTGTAAATGACCAATTAACAACATAAAATTCCCCACAAATGTAAATGACCAATTAACACGATATTCCCCACATCTGTAAATGAACAATTAACAAGACTTTCTCCACACCTTTAAATGACCAATTAAAATGGCATTCTACACACCTGTGAATGACCAATTAACAACAGGCCATTCGGGGGCTGATGAGGCTCGATAGCTGGGTACAGCCACTCATATATGAGAGAAAACTCCAAAATCAAACAGCTGCTGCCTTGCAGTCAGTTCTTGGTTAAAAAAAGGCTATGGAAACAAATCCAAAAAGAAAACCAGGCTGAAATCGGAGTCAACAGCCTATCTGACGCATAACAA